CGGGATCTCAAGTGCTCCTCTGTGCGTCTGGTCGGGCCCATGGAGTCTCTATCTGGAAGTTCCCACCGTAATAGGTTTTTGTCTGCTTTACCTGGTTTCAGAAATGGTGATTTCCATTTTTGTGCCTCAAGATTAACCAGGAGACAGAAGTATGGCGTTTTTACTTTCTGATGCAAATTCCTCAGGTTTGTGTGTTTCATCAGAAAACTTTCTCCTAAAGAGGTGAACCCCCACTTTTTCTGTGGCTCCTTGTGGGGACAAGCCATGCCTCTGCACACACACCGAGCTGACCCCTTGTAAGGTGGCCTGCAGAAGTGTGTCCCTGCGCACCTGACCCTGCCCCAAGGCTACTGTCGGATGCCAGGTGGGCAAAGTCTAGTGAGCGGGGGCGTGCCCCCCAGAAGTGACCCCAATACCCTCACCCACCCAGGACGGAAGAATGGGCCTCATTCGGAAAGCCAGTCTTCGCAGACATCATGGTGGACACGAGGCCACAGTGCAGCAGGGGGACCCCACCAGTGACTGGTGAACTTACAGGAAGGCCACGCAAGGACACTCAGGGACAGGAGGGCCAGCGAGCACCGAGGCAGAGATGGGTGATGGTCTGCAAACCCAGGACCCCCAGGCTTGCCCTCCAGGAGGCCTGCTTGTGTCTTCCGAGGGAGGGCACTGGGGGCCCTGGGAACGCCCCGACCTCAGACTTCCAGCCCGAGAGCCTGCAGTGCCGTGTTCTAAGCCCCGGCCTCAGGTGGCTCATTCAGGCAGCGCTGGAAACCACACCTTTCATCTCCGGACTCCCAGGTGTCTATGGCTGCTGTAACTCCCCAACCTCACTGTGGGAGGGGACAGATGCCCAACCCGTCCACCCAAAACCCAGAAGACTGCCGCACATGTGCACAGTAGGTTCAAACTCACAAGCCTGTTTCTGGTGTGCCCGACCCAGGGGGCCCCGGACATCACTCAGAACCCTGCCTCCCTGCCCCAGATGCTCCTGGTGGATGACATCAGTTGGGCCCCAGGAGCCCCCCATGCCCCATGCGTGACATCACCCAACTCCACACCCCCAGGCTTCACGCCATCAGTTCACCCAACCCCGCCGCAATGCTCTACACGATGTCACCCAAACTTCACAACCCCAAACTCCACGTTAATGACAGGCCCCAGACATTGTCCAACCTCTAGTTCGTGTCCCGCCTGATGACGTCACCCACCCCGTCCACATTCCCCGTGATGACGTCACCCACCCCGTCCACAATCCCCGTGATGACGTCACCCACCCTGCCTCCACTCCAGGCTTCATCTTTGGGGTTCGCAGGCAGCAGAATCAAAGGTGTTGGGGGCTACAGGGTCTGCCAGGCGACCTGAAGGCTAGTGCGACTTCGGGGCACCCTGTGTGAACCCCGCACTCCAGCTTCTGCAGCCTGACGGGAACAGTGACCTCTTTGGCTAAGAGATTCCCAAACCACTAGGCTCATAGGACGCTCTCATCAGGAAACTCTGCATGCAAACAGAAGGGTTGTGGTTTATTACATGACTTATAAAATCTGAGGACAGAGAGGATGGTCGGGTCATCTAAACCACATTTCCAAACAGCCAGGGTTTCAGTGAGGTACGGGCTGCGACACACGGGCATCCTGCAGAATCCAGCCAGAGGCTCCTGACCAGGCCACGCCCCTGCGCCTATGGCGGTCAGCCCGGCCACGGTCCGCAGGCGACGGTCAGCTTGGCCACGTCTGCACAATCCCCTCTAACAGCTTCAGCACACGGAAACTCCTAGGCCCTAGTTCGGGATAAATCACCGAAGAGCCGTTGAGTGGACGCGCACAACTCCATGTCTGCCAGTGGATTCCTTGGGGTAATTTCCCGACAAGGCCCCACGGGCACATCTCAGTGCAGAGCTCCACTCCCCTTGGGCACACGTGGCCCTGCCGCCGGGCCCGGACACCAGCCGGCACGAGCGATCTGCCCGCGTGCTTCATTCTCAGTGTCCGCCCGTGCCTCTTCCCGTGTCCGCTGCGTGATGGAATCATTTTTCTATCGACCTACATTTGGGTTTCTTTACCATATGAGCTGCCAATAATTTCCCCAGTCTTCACTATTTTAAAGAAAACTCAACTTGCAATGTATTACGGAGAAAAGAGAATGAAAAAATTAATTCTTTCAAGGGAAGAATAAGAACGAACCAGTCACAAGTCGGGACGAGGAGCAGAGTAAGACGACAGTTCACACCCAAGTATCTCACCTCGCGTAAGAACGGGCTGACGTCTGCCGTTAGGACACAAAGACTTGTAAACGGCGTAACAAAAATCAGCCACGCCGCGTTTTCAGGAGACACGCTAAAAACACAAGGATACGTTCATGATGAAGATAGGAGGACTGAGAACACATAGCGTGCTCGTGCCGGCCTCAAGCAGAAGTTACTGTGGCCAAATTAAGAAAAGCAAAACCGACTGAAAACAGAATGTCTTACTAGAGACAAACAGAATCGCTTCCTAATCAGAAGAGCTTCCGCTCAGAGGAGAGCATTTCCAGTCTGAGGAGCCCGACAGCAGAGCCCCAGACGCTCGTCTTTAAAACGGGAAACAAGAAAAGAGAGAGAGAACGTGGCGGAGGAACAGCCCAGCCCACGTCTGGGGGCCCCCCAGCTCCCCACGGCCACGCCGCACCCGCCCGGGGCATCGGCCCCTGCAAGCGAGCCAGGGCGTCCGTGCAGCAGCCGTGCGGCGGCCCATGGAGCAGGTCCCCAGCGACGGATTTCAAAGGCCGGACTCGCACACGGCACGTTCTCAGAGCAGGGTACAGAGGACTAGGAGCAGGGCACTCCCACCCGCTCCGCCCTGTGAGTACGCGCTCACATTTAAAACCGGACAGTAAGGAAGTCAGGGGGTGTGGGTGTGGCTTAAGCAGAGGCCAGTGACCCTCGTGGCACCCCGTGCTCGTGAGAACAGGACTGCTGAGAAGCAACACAGTAAAGCCTCCAACTCCAGGCGTGGGGGCAGCAGGGGCAGCAGGGGCAGGGGTCGAGGCCAGCCACACAGCCAAGCGGACGACACACCCAAGAGTGCCAAGTGGTCGAGAAACCTCTGGAGAGACGCAGCCCGGAAAAGACCGGAAAAGACTGGAACAGGCCCACATAACCCCTGGGGGGGTGGGGGAGGCCACGGCAGACCAGGAAGTCACTCTCAGCAGCTCTACGCCAGGACCGAGAACCAAGGCAAACAGCCGGACACCGAGAACAATCCACGGCACCGAAACCGGCTCCAGAGAAACGTGAATGTGCCAGACGCTCCCAGGAAATCAAACCTTCCCACCACAGCACCCGGCCCGCGAGACCCTTCTGAGCCCCCATCACTAGGTCACCGCAACCCTGTCCCTTCTCTTCCAGAGAGCAGAGAACCCGGGGGCTCCCCAGCCCCAGGGGAGTGCGACCCTGACACCGAGACTGGGGACAGAGGAAAGGAAATGCTTACAAACCCTCATCCACGCCTACACGTAGAGGCGGCAGCCCCAAACCATGCGAGGCCCCACAGGAAAAGGATTCCAGGAGCGCGTGGGGCCTCTCCTGGCAAAGGAGCGGTTTCCCTCTAGAAAATCTGAGTCATTCACCAAGGCCCACATTTAACGGAAAAAAGCATCGCATTCCAACAGATGGAGAAAGCGTCTGCTAGAACCCCACGTCCACGCGAGGCTAAACTCGCGGCCAGCTGGACAGAAGACCCCCTGCGCCCAGCAGCTCGGCCGGGGGGGCCCTCCCGCGGGCATCCAGGCTGCCGCCGCCCTCCAACCCCCACAGTCCCAGCACGTGCCAGTCAGGCCCGCTCCCTTGGAGGGCACCACGCCACCCGGGTGCAGCTCAGACGGGGCTCCGAGGCCACTGGCCACCGAGGCCGCGTGACGGCCCTCCTGTGTACATCCTGCTCGCGCTCCACCCTGACGAGACCACCGGCCCCTTCCAGCTCCCCCCTCACCCGCCGCGACCCCGGGTGTCTTGGGCCCTCCCCCCCACGCCCCTCCCCCATGCCTGCTCTTGGGCACTTCTGCCAGAAAAGCCTCACGACGACCCACGGCGCACGCCCAGGCGTGCCCAGCTGTGGACTGGCGCACACCACCGGCAGGCCGCACCCACTCCTCCCCTGTGCCCGAGGCTGGGCTGGCCCTACAGGGCCCACGCAGCATCCCCCTCAAGACGGTGCCTGTTCCAGGCTCGTGATGCTCCTGACGATCTCCAGCTCCCAGGACGGACAGGCTTCCTGCCCTTCTGATAACGCCTCCGTGAGGCGATGTGTCCTTTCGTCTGGAAGCCCAGATACTTTTCTCTTCCGCAGACGCCACCGCGTGGAGCTCGCACATTTCAGAGTCAGGACACACGTAGCCTCGCGTTCTCGCCAGCCCTGCTGGGAGGCGGGCGTGCCCCGCGCTGTGCAGGCTTCCCTTCTGCCCCTCCCTCCTTCCTCACCTCCCACTGCCCAGCGCTGCCTCCTCCTGGACCCCACGGACCGCGTGTCCGGGCTTGCGGGCGCGCTCCCAGCCGTCCCCTTCCCTCCCGAGTCCCCGCGTTGCTCTCCGGTGACCCTGCTGCTCCCCACTCCGCAGACTGCCCTGGATGCGGCCTGCGTGCGCCCGTGAACAGAGATGCTTCGGGCTTTAAGATCTCCCACTTCCCCCGCGACAAGAGGACAGAGGAAGTGTGACTGTAGGTGAGTGGCAGGGACAGTGGGGGTGGGGCGGGCAAGCACGGTCTTCCGGTGGGAGTGCGGAGGCAAACGGGGAGCCCTCGCCTGACAGACCTCCATTCTGTCTGCGGAGCCAGAGCGGTGCTTCTCCCCACTGGCCCTGAGCCACCCAGCCCGGCCCCGCCACGACGACGGCCGCGGAGCCGCAGGACGCGGCCCCAAGGACAACCCCGCTGCGGTCTGCGCTTCGGAGGAAACGCGGCTTCTGGGAAAGAAACACGCAGGTGGCTCGCGTCCGGGGTCCCAACACGATTTATTCCACCCAGCGAGAGGCGCTGTGCGCACGGCCGCGCTAGTGATGGTGCTGCCGGAACTGCAGTCCGCAGTAGCCGCACGTCCCCGTCTTGGTTTCCTTGTCCTGCAAGATTCAGAAGAAAGAGCTCAGGTCGCCGTGCTCTGCTCCCGTCTAAACGCGTCCCGCATCAGACGGACAGCGTACGCCGCTCCTGAGCTCGGGTCTCAACTAGACACAGCTTAAGCCCTCTGAGGTCGCGCGGGGACAGGGGACCGTCACGGCACCGGGGCCCAGGTCTGAGTCTGCTCCACCCCGACCCGCTGCCAGCCGTGGGCAGGGCCCTGAACCCTAGCTCCGGCCCCGGAACACAGGGTCATCTGCAAGGACCGCCCTGAGGACATGTCTTCCGGCCTCAGCTCAGCGCCCGTCTTCTCCCCCAGCCCGTGAAGGCCGAGGTGTCACCCCGGGCCCAGCATTCAGCGGACTGGAACAGGTGGGGCGCTGCACAGAGTCCCAGCAGCCCCCAGGCCAGGGGCCGGTGCAGACACGCTCAGGCCACAAGCAGACGGGCTGCCAGGGTGCTGCGACGTCCGTCCCTCGCATCCACACTGTGGCAGACCCGAGCCTCAGCCCCCGCTCGCCCCTCTGCTCCAACGTCCCGGTCCTCCCCTCACCAAGGCCCTGTGGGGGCACAACCTCCAAAGTGAGGTTCAGGAAGATCAAGCCGCAGGTGTGGCAGGAGAGCGGACGACTGTGCTGGCAACGCTAAGTGCGGCCCCATGGGGAGGGCGCGCATCACGTGGTCCCTACCACGTGGTTGGAGGAACGGTGAGAGCCAGCGCCGCAAGGGCCACGCGGGACGGGACAGCTTGGACTAGACCCGCGAGGACAGGTGACACGGTACCAGGTTTATGTACACTTTCGGGTGGCCAAGAGCCCCCCCGCCGCCGTCACACGCGGTCACACGGTTTCCGACTTCACTCACGGGCTGCTCAGCGATCAGATCAACGGCAAAGTTTTCATTCACCTGCAACAAGACGGAAAGAGAAACAAATGTAGCCAAGTACAAAGGCGGGACAATTTCACGGAATGTAAGTGTGCGCAGGGGACGGCCCCACGCCAGGTCCTGCCGGCACAGACACACTCTGGACGTTCCCGTGTGCTCGCATCTGCGACCGCTGCGGGCCTTCAACGTACACGCGACGCTGCCCGTCCGGACACAATTTCAAACTCGCAGAAACGGGGCAGGAGCCAGATTGCGAACACTTGCCCCTGGTCATACCCAAGGGGCGGACCAGAGCCCTTGCGCCGCGCCCCCGGCTTCAGCACCAGCTCTGCTCCCGGCCCCGCGTCTCGCTCCACCCGTGACACGCAGAAAGGCCCCAGGGCCGGCTGTCCCCGCCAGCAGAGGCCCCTCCGCGGTCACGGGCCAAGGAAGCCCTGGCAGACTCCCTCGGCCACACCCAAAGGGCAGCCAGTTTGGGGAACCACCACATGGAACAACACGGGACAACACGGGACACTGGAGAGACGACGGGGTTGCAACTGCAGGGACAGAAACCCAACAAATACGCTGAAATCTGTGATTTCGCAGATTTGAAGACAGAATGAATACCTCGCCGTTCGGGACGGATGTCGCTGTAAGAACTGGGACGCGGAAGGAATCGACACTCCCGCCTCCTCCAGGCTACCCCGTGTCTTCACACAAGCACTCAAGCTGCGGGGAAAACCGCGTCACCCTCAACCCCGTCCGGGGTCACGGGCCACCGCCCTGCGGCCCCCACAAAGTGACCTCGCACAGAGACCCCGAGTCTGACCTGATGCAGCCGCCACAGCCAACCCCGGTTCCACACCCCGAGAACAGAGGCACCGAACCCCACGATGTGCCGCAGCCGGGAGACCCAGCCGCAGGCAACGCCAGAGGGAGACCCGGGTCCTCGGACAGGTGACTTCCAAGCAGGTAAAGGGAGCGTCTGTGTGTGTGGGGGGGCGACACCTAAAAGTTAAAACACACTTAGACGCGTCAGCAAGTGCTCTGCCTGGGGCTTATCTGTGTCCTCAGCCACCAGATATTTTTTACTGTGACACATCAGAGCTCTTAACCTCCGATCAGCTGTTTAACTCAGAGATCGCCCTCGTCTGCAGTCGCGTCTGCGCCTCGTGGGGTCCGCGCACCAGGGACTCGGTTCACTGGGACAGAGTGAGCGACCTGCTTGCACAACGGCAGCCCTGGCGGGGAGCGGGCCGTGGGCCATCAGCACGGAGAGCAGCGCGGCCGCCTCGGGAAGTCTCCTGGTTGATAACGGCTGCGTCAATCCAGGCTCACAGGACGAGGGACCATGACACTATCCCCCCACGTCTGTTTTGTTAAACAGATTTGCACACCTGGCTGGGCAAGTAACGTGTCTCGCAACGAGCTACTGTGGCCAAAGGGACCCAGGCCAGGAGACCCACACGGCTCGAACCTGACCCGCCCTGAGCCAGGCGCGCACAGCCTCCCTGGCCATGGCCCAGGAGACAAAGCTCCCAAGGCTGGGAAGGTAAAGCATCCGAGTGTGTGTGTGTGTGTGTGTGTGTGCATGGAGGGAAAGGTCCCCAACGTGCCCCACAGCCCTGTTATGGAGCCGACTCCCGTATCCCACCCTGGGGGGCCAGCCCACGCCACGGGCCGCAGCTTCCCACCCCGGAGAGCTGTGCAAAAGCAGAAGGGACGTCCAGAGGCACATGCCCCCTCCAACGGCGTGTGATCCCCAAAGCCGTCCACGGCAACCCACCACGCCCCCACCACACTCTCGGCCGTCCGCAGGGCTTGGTGTCCCCTGCTTGGGCTCCCAGGCAGCAGCAGCTCGTGGCTCCCCTAGACCCCGCGTCATCGTCAACCCACCCAGGACAGAAAACAACGGCGAGACCACATCTGGGACGTCACCCGCCTCTGGACGCTGGAGGCTCGTCTGCGCACAGGACACGACACGGGACGAATGCAGTCGGGGCCACTACTCTTCCTGGCAGACGTCCCCGCGGCCACCACGGGAGTGACACTGCGCAGACAGGACGGGAAACAGAGGCTACACACAGAGTAAGTGCCTCCCGGCTCGTCCGCCCGCCGCGCAGGGAGTACCAACCTCGGTACTGTGGGTGGCTGATGGCAGAGCCGCCGTGCCGGTCAGTCCTGGCCGCCGGGGCCCAGCCGGGTGCCCGCCCCGCGTCCCCAGAGCCCCACCGACAGGGAGAGGCCCCACTGTAGTGAAGACAGGGAAATGAGGATCAATGTTTACAAATAAAGGGGGGCTGGGACCTCTGAACTTTAACAGAACCTGGAAGTAAGTTAGAAAGGCACAATCGGCCTCCGTGAACAGCTCCTCTAAAGCCAGCAGACTCCGTCCAGAGGACACGTGATCCCGCAGGGCCAGCCCCTCACTCTGGCCCGGAAACAGACGGCCTTGCCTGCCATTGACTCAGATAATGTCCCAAACCCACAGAGGGTGGACATTCTGCAAAAACTTAATTATTGCTACAGACTCTGACTTTGTGAAGTTTCCTTTCTACAAACCCAGCAAGAGGTTACGGGGACATGGGGCTCCATCGGAGCCGAGGGGCCGCACACCGCGCGGCCAGGTGGGGAGGCCGGGCCACGCTACAGGCTCCTCTGAGCACAGCGGCCCCACACGCGGCCTTGCCGCTCTGCTTACACGCGCACTGACGGCCGGCCGCGGAGGCCGGGAGGTCCCGCTCCCCTCAGCTGCAGAGCCGAGCATCCCACGCACGAAGCCTGCGCTGTAACACGGGACGGCGGCTACCTAAGTGACAGACGTGTCAGGAAGGCCACACTGACAACCCCCCGGGCCCCAGCGTGGCCGTCAGGCAGACCGCCGTCTCCCGCAGGAAGGGCAGCTGACCCCGGAGACGGACACAGGACTGCCCCTGTCACTCAGCCCCAGGGTGACCCTGACCTTCCGTGACGAACGTCTCATTCCCGGGATTCGGTTCAACCACAGGCGCACGCAGAGCCCCGGAGCCGACACGCACCCAGCAGCCGACCCCAGGTGGCCGCTCAGGGCTTGGTCTCGCCCCCCGGAGCATTGCGGGCCTGCCAAGGGCATGAACGCAGAGAACATCACAGCGCCCCGGGCTCCTGCCTCAGCCGTCAGCACCGTGGGTTTCAGGCAGACGGTGTCACACGCCCTCAACTGCCCAACAGCCGTAGGATTGTCCTTTATGCGTCACTAACGTAACGAATGTGAAATTACCTTCTCATTTACCTCCTGACGGCCGCTGACCGGGCACAAAGACACATGGGCTCAAATTCATTTGGTGGCGACTGTTACCGTCGTCTAACCCGCGTTCTGGGGAGTGACGGTTCCTACGGACACTTCACTCGCTTACATCAAACTGAGGTCACACCCACGAAACGCACAACGGACAACGCGGGACCACACGAGACAGTCCTACGACGACACAGGGAGAAACCGCCTCGCTGAGTGACCCCCGTGCTGGACGCGGCCAACCCTGCTCGGGGAGACGCGCGACCGGAGTGAGTAGGAGCCCAGCTGGCATCGGACTCGGATGTCGGGGTCTGTACCACCGACATCTGCCTTCACTTGAACACACGTGGATACACACACGTATGTAATTTTTAAATCACGGTAAAAACGGATATTTTCACCCAAATTAATTTTTAACACAAATTTGGAGAAAATGCTCAAAAATACCTCCTAGGCTTTTTGTACAGCAGTGTCTGCAGGTGCCCTGGGGCGATCTGGCCAGTGCAGAGGCGGAGGACAAGCACGGACGCGTGGAACCGCCAGGAGACCAGAGGAAGGCACAGACCTCGAGGCTCAGCGCCCAGGCCACCTCAGCGGAGAAGTCCCTTCACCAGGCGAGTGGTCCACTCTGCCAGCGCCCAGGAGACGCAAGGCCCAACAAGCCAAGGGCTACAAGCCCTTGAGGGACACTCGACACTCCCGGTGGGGCCCGCAGCCACACCGCACGCACCCCTGCCTGCGAGCTCCTCCCTCCAGCACTCACAGCCCCTGCTGTGCATCCACAACGTCCAGACCCTCTGAGGTGGACAGGCTTCACGTCACTCCACCAAACACAGCAGGTCGGGTGGACACCGGTGCCACGGGGACCGCTCCTCAGCTCAGCGGTGGCTGGCTCCTTCCAGCTGCTACTGAGGAACCAAGGTGCCCAGCGGGTGAGCCAGAGTCACAGCCAGACTCACCGGCCCGCTGGGGGTCGGGAGGCCGTCTGAGATGGGCAGGAAATGTCCAGAGCACCCGGGCAGCGCGGGTCCCCGCTGCCCCGATGGCCGGCAAGGGCGATCCCGCCTGGGCAGAGCCGCCCCGTCATCACTGCACAAAGCGGAGGCACGGGGAGCTGCACTCACGGACTCGGCCTCCCAGTGCTCTGGGCTCTCTGCCTCACTGCGCATCTTTCGTGCCCACGAAGGACGCCAGCCCCGTCAGTCGCAGTAACCCAGCAGCAACAGAACAGCGCACACGCTCGCTGATGGCCTCCCGGGACAGGGGTTCCCTAGCGGCTCGTCCCCTCGGACCCAGCGCCCTCAGCCCAGGGAGGTCTGTGACGGGGCAGGCAGTGCTTGGGGGGCTGCACAGATCCGGACGCGGTCAGAGCGGCCTGGAGCCACACTCGAGACCAGACAAGTCCTCTGAGCCGCAAGGTGACAGAGACGGCACTGCTGCTGTTCCCACTGTTGTCACCGTTACCGCCATCCTGCACGCGCTCTTCTGCTAGAAGACAGGAAACGAGCGCCGTTCGTCTGATGTATGTGACCACAGAGTCAAGGAAACGCTTTCTGTAGCTTCAGACGAGCATCTGCTCGGTCCCAGCCCCCTGCCTCGCGGAGGCGGCCCAGGACCACGGCAGGCCTGGCTCCTGCCCCCCTCGAGGACTGGGAGCTGCGCAGCCGGTTCTTCAGCACGTGAGCGTCTCGTCTTAGGACGACCCCGGACAGGCCCGCACGGACGCCTCTGCAGACACGCCGCAAACCGCACGAGGTGCCTCTGGCCAGGAGCAGCCAGGAGCCACACAGATACGTTCCGCGTCCCTCTGCAAAGGCCAGCTCGGCTCTGCAGCTTTCCGCGCTCCTTGTTCATCAGATTTAGCTCAGATTCGGGGGGTTTCGGAAAATACAACTGACCAAAACTAGAGAACCAGCGAGATGCGGGGCTGTCGGAGGCTGCGGGGAGGGAGAATGAACAGGTGGAACGGGAGACGCTCTCAGGGCAGGAAACTACGCTCCGACACTGTAAAAACGGGCGCGGGACACGCGTCTGTCACAACCCACAGCCCGTACAGCACGGACAGGAACCCCGACACGAGCCGCGGGCTTGCGCGCACGTGTCGGCACCATCAGGTGTTCAAAGCATCAGCTGTAGCGACCGCAGCCCCGGACAGACGGCGCTACTTGCAACAGGCCGCCTGGCAGGAGGCGGGTCCAGGGGAACCCTCTGCACTTCATGTCCCCATTTCCAGTACACGGAAAACTCCTCTAAAACAACGTCTTTGGGAAACGCCAACAATCTTAAAATACTACCAAGTGCCAACTGTCTGTGGCACGCACGCGGGCCCAGCGGCACGCCTCGTTTACAAACAGGCGCACCCGTACGACTGATCGTGCTCCCCGATCACACGTGATGTGCAACAGCAAAAGGCCACAGACAGGACAGGGGCTCCGGACCTGGGTGAGGGGACACCTTCGGCTCTGCCTCCTCTGTTCACACTCCACTGGCTTTGCGAGTTCTGATTTTGTTTGGTTGGTTTTGGTTTTCAGCTGCTCCGGTTGCCCCCGAAGGCGATCAGAAACCAGAGGCCACAGAGTCTCCAGCAGAGACGAGCTTGGGACAGACCCAGGTGCTTGCTAACGCGTCAGAACTGCTGAGCTGGGGAGCCGGGGCCGGACCGCAGGAGCCACCCAAGGCGTCAGGACCCACGGCTCCGCCCGAGGCACTGAACTCTGTCTCCACCACCCTGTCCCCCGCAAGGCAGGAAAGAAGTAGAAAAAGAGAATTTAAGAACAGACAGTGTAACCAAGGTCAGAGGGCGGGAAACACAACTTACTGACCGCTGAGAAGTAACAAGTAACAAGAACTAACAAGAAGGCTGACTGAGGGAAGGAGGGGCGCGAGGTGACTGCGGAGGACAAAAGGACTCGGAAGGGGAAGACCGCCCAGACCACGGCCCGCGGACTGCGGATCCGGCAGCACAGGTCAGAGAGGAACTAGGAGGAGCTCAGGTTCCTGGAGACACCACGATCAGCGTCCTCTCTCCTGCCGTCACCGTCCGGGAGCAGTCACAGCCACTCAGGGCAGGACGGTCCTCCTGCCAGCTTCAGCTCGGGAGTGTCCGTCCCTGTAAGAACAAGGCCTCCTCCGGCCGGCAGGAAATATGACAAGCAAACCCCAACAGGGGGACTGAAACAGTAGTTTTTAAAAGTTGATGACGTGACTTCCTTTAATCTGGGGGTCTGGGGAGTATGAGGCAGAGAAATGAAAGGAAAATAAAGGGCCACCGCGGCTTACACACACCCAGACCGCGCTGAGGCGGCGGCACCAGTACTTCGGGGGAAACACGCGAGACAGACGCGCGCCGGCCCTTCACAGAAACGCAGACTTCCAGAGCCGCCCGGGCTCTCGTCTGAGAACTTAGGTCTCCTCCATGTCTCGCTGTTCCGTAACGGCTTCACCGAGACGCAGCTGTCCCTCACGTCCTCACCTCTTTCTGGCGACCCACGAACCGGACCCTCCTGTAGTCCGCATCGTCGTAGACCTGGGGAAAGACCGTGCGAGACTTTTACAGCCTGATTCTGACCGTCGCCGAGGGCCAACAGCCAGCATCACGGAAAAGTGCGTGTTCGGAAGTTCTGCTGTTTGTCTCCGAGGACGGGGGGACCGCGGGCGGCTGCGCGGGCGCAGCTCGGCCAGAGACCGAAGCAGGGAAGAGGCGCCGACGCCGGGGGTCGGCGAGGCGGGGCTGAAGGAGCGGACAGACGCGGGCAGCGGAGGGGCCCCCGTCCCCCCCAGCCGGCCGGCGGCGCAGGAAAGCGTCCCCGGGGCAGCGCGGTGACAGGGGTCCCTGAGTCCCTCCCGGCCGTGTCTGCGCTCCGGCGGCGCCCACGCAGCGCGGCGCAGACGCGAGCCGGACGACGGCTCGCCCAGGACCCCCGCGCCCTCAGCGCCCCGCGCGTCAGAGCGTAAGACCCACACAGTCCCCGGGCCCGCGGGACCCCGCGCGCGGCCGCCGCTCCTCCGGGAACCGGACGCTCCGGCCGGCGCGTCCCCCAGCCGCGGGCACCGCGAGCCGAGACGGAGGGCGGCCTCCACGCCGCAGCGCTTACCTGGCCGGTGTGCGTAATCTTCTCCCCGGTCGGCGACGTGCGCACCCCAAAGCACCGGACGCCCCGGGGCAGGCTCAGCGCCGCCCGGCCGCTGCGGCCCAGCAGCCGGCAGAAGGTCACTGCCGCCGCCATCTTGTGGGCTGACCCTTGATCCGGCGCACCCACACGCTGACGCATGCGCACCGTGTCGCAGGCCCTGACGGCCCGACTTCGCGCCCTGCGGGGCGTCGCGCACGCGCGCTGCGCTCCGGCGGGAGCATCCGGGCAGGGGCCGCGGCCGGGTCGAGAAAAGGCGGGAAACTGTGCTCGCGGCTTGAGCGCCGGCGGCCGCCGTGACGTTCCCGCCGGGGTGGGACGGGGAGGACGGGAGGTGCGAGGGCGCGGCTCACACTGGCCGGTCACTGATGACCCGGGGTGTCCCCCGCGGGGGCCCCGCCGGAGCGAGCGGCGAGCACCACGGGGGCAGCGCGGCTGCAGGGAGCGGTCGGCGAGTTCGATGCGGCCCCGCGGGCCCGTCAGCCCTGGCGGCCCCGCCCCTCGCGTACCCGGGCGGCCTGCGGCTCGCAGCCCCGGCGCCCTTAGCGGCCGGGGGGGTGGGCGCGGGGCTCCCCGTGGCCGCGGCGGGAGGCCGGTGCGGCGGGCTCCGCTTCCGCTAGGACGGGCCGTGGCGGGCGGTGGTCCGAGGGCCGCCGGCGAGGAGCAGCCCCCGGAGCCCGCCGCCTTCCCCGGGAATCCCCGAGTGCGCGCCGCGGGTGCTCCCCGGTTTTGCGTGGGCGCCGGGTGCGTCCGTGCCCTACACCGGCCAGGATTTCCCGTGCGTCCCGGGCCTCTGCTTCCGCTCCCCGGGGCGCGGTCCGAGCCCGTCGGCGCCGGGGGCGGGAGGCCGCCTCTGCGCCCGGCACCGAGGGGATGACCACGTGACCCCCGCCGCCATCTTTCTTCCTGGCGCTCACTCCGGGCGGCGGAGTCCGCGCCCCATTGCGCAGGCGCTTGCGAGGCGCGCGGCCAGTCGTCGCGGTCTCGTGTTCTCAGGTGAGGGGCGCCAGGAGTCGCGAGGGACCGGGGCCGGGGCGGTGGCTGCTGCGGGGGCTCGGGGGTCCCTGCGTGGGCCACAGCCGCACGCCCTCCGCTCCCCGGACGCCGCGGCCGAGAAGGGCCGCCTGGTGTCCCCTGCGGGCGGGCATGTCCGGGGCCCTCGCGGACGGCCGGGGGTGCGGGGCGGGGCCGCGGGGTTGGGGTTAGAGGCCGCGGGTGCAGCGGGAGGCGGGGGCCGCGGGCGGGGCGGGGGCGCCGCTGCCGGTGGTGCGCGAGGTCCCGCAGGACCGCGTTCTGCTCCCGCTCAGGTCCGGCCGCACCATGGCGTCCGCGCTGGCGGCGAAGATGCTGGCGTCCGCCCTGGGCCCCCTGCTCCGGCCGCGGCCTCCCCCTGCCGTGCCCCGCGCGCTCTCCACGCTCCTGCCCGGACGCCCTGGCGCTGCAGGGCCCGCGGGGCTGCCGGGCCGCCTGCTGCCCGGCCTGCAGCCCGCCCTGGGGTTCAAGACCAAGGGCGTCATCAAGGAGCGGTGCCGGGACTGCTACCGGGTGAAGAGGCGCGGCCGCTGGTTCATCTACTGCCGAGCGAACCCGAAGCACAAGCAGAGGCAGATGTAGCCGCGGCGTCGCAAGCACCGCCGCGTCCCCTCCCGAGCAGGGGGGCACCACCTGGGGACCGACAATAAAACGTAAACTCGTGTGGTCTGTGTCCGGCCTCGCGTCCTCCTGACTCTGCGCCTCCTGTCGCAGCCCAGTCCCGCCCCTTGGTCCGGCAGGGCCGCAGCTGGGGGTGCGTCGTGCGCAGACCGTGCGCTGGGCGGGCGGGCGGGCGGGCGGACGGGCGGAAGACCAGGCAGAGCGGGTCTGCTCCGACCCCCACCCCCAGCTCACAACGCATCTCGGTTGGAAAGAGCCAGATCCCTTGGGACGGAGGGTCCCACGAGGCCAGCTCAGCCCGGTCTGCGTGCGGCCGGCTGCCGCTCTCACGGCACTGCACGGTCCTGTCGGTCCTGTCGTGAGGACCGTGGGACAGCCTGGAAAGCAGCTCATAAGTCAAGGCCGACTGGACTTTCCATACACAGACGGATTTCAGGTTTCAGCTAAGCGTGTTTGCCGTCCGTGAGGAGACACGAACACGCGTGTGTGTGGTGTGTGTGTGGTACGTGCGTGCGCGGAGCTGTGCAGCTCTGCTACCCTCTGCAGGTGTGTGGCCTGGGACCAGTGGTGCAGGTGTTCCGCGTCCCTTGTCTCAGGTCTGGTAGCCTCGCCCACATGGTCTGAGCTCTGGGCCTCGGCCTCCAGTGGCCTTCCTGTCCAGGCCACGGCTGGAGCAGGTTCCACTGGGTGGGATGGTGGTGCAGGGTGGTGAGTGTCGGTGAGCAGCGTATGCAGAGGCCAGCAAAGGCGTTCCCCAGCCATGCTGTCCCTGGGAGGTGGGTGCAGGCTGAGTCCCGCAGGACCCGGGAGGGTGAGATGCAGGGGTGTCCCAGCAAGGGGCCCTGGCAGGCTGGGGGCTGAGCTGCGTCGTGCACGGGGAAAGCTGGATGACCCCCCAGCACGCAGGCAGCTCAGAGCCGTGCTCCGGCGCTGTGCCTATAGTCCCGGCCTCGCGGGCCCTGACTCTGGTACCCAGGTCCCCGACACAGGTCCCAAGAGGCAGCTCAGACAGAGAAGGAAACACCCTTTCCAGCAGCGCTTCATCCTGCAGGAAGGGGGGCTTCTGCTAGTTCTGCGGGAGTGAGGACCTTATTTCCTCTCCAAGTGCGTCAGGGACCCCGTCCGGGTTACGTGCAGCTGGGCCTCGCAGGGACGAACGTTTGTAGTATAACAGGTTTCATCCGGGTTAAACTGTCGAGTGCAGACGCTCGCAGGGAGATCATCGCCTGTCCTATCAGTGCACAACTGCAGGATGGGGCTGTGACATGGGCGGGTTTTCCTGCTCACTACTGGTGGCCCTTGGGACAGACTTTGTCTGTGCCTGGCTGTCCAGGGCACTGTAGGGTGCCGCATCCTTGGCCCCCTCCCCCGGGGTGCCAGGAGCGCCCTCATCCTGGGCGTGACAACCAGATCTCCAGACGTGGCCAAGGGCTCCCAGGGCACGCTCCCCGACAGGAGCTGATACTTCCCACCCGCGCACGGGGTTCGTCGAGAACTGAAGCCCCGGGCGGGGGACCCTGTTTCTGTCCTGCTTTGCTCTCAGTCTGCTACGAGGGCTGGTCCGTAGTAGGCACTGAGCAAATGCATGTGCACTCACGTGGTAACGACAGGACAAGGCCTTACAAGGAGACGGCCTTTCGTCCTCTCCACTTGGCTGCAGCAGGCTTCTGTCCGGCGAAGGCCACAGCTTCGTTCTGAAGAGTTGGCCGAGAGGTCCTGTCCGTGGGAATGTAGCCCCGTCCTGTGTGGGGGAGAAGTTGGATACTGCACGGGTCCAGGACACGCACACAAACACGCCACACACACCTTACTCCTTTTCAGTTGTTTTCTCCTTGACAGGTAAGCGTGAGGTCTTTACTTGCTCTGTGACTGCCTGGCTCTGCAAATATTTGGTGGTGCTGTGTATGCAGGGAAGTGACTCTCGAGGTATCCAAGGACAGGCAGTAACCAATGTACGGAAGCGGGGGGGTGGGGGGGCCAAATCCAAAGGAACCTGGGATCGTAACTGACGAGCTGGGATTCTAAGAGGGTGTTGATGAGTTTTTAAAGCATTCATCCCTCCTGGGGTTCTTAGTCTCTCTTCGATCTCAGGGGACCGCCTGTGTGCTGACCAAACCGTCCTTATGGCTCAGTTGCTTTCCAGTGTCCGGATGAGCCCACGTGTATAGCCCAGATGCTGCAGTGTAACAGCAAACCTCGTTGCGGTCAGGAGGCAGCAGGCACACCCGTCCCCCTGTGCTTGACCTCGTATGTGATGTCCGTGCCTTCCACTGGCCAAGCAGTTGCTTAAATACTGTATGGCCTGAAAATCCTTACAGCTAGAGTTAACATTTGCAGAGAAAGTGTGCCAGCTCCTCGTTTGGGCCACTACAGTAGTTCCATGTCACCCTGGGATTGGACTTCACAATGACCACAACCTGCCAAAAGGGTTTCATGGATTTTCTGTTATCCACACAGTGAGAAGGAGCTTTGTAAATGCTCCCCATGAACAGACAGAAACTGAAATAAAAGGTGCTATTTGTAATAGCACCGAAACCAGGAATGTTTAGATACAATCTAACAAAATTTATACACATTCCATACACTTAAAATTACACAACACTGTTGAAAGAATTTGAGTAAGATCTACAGATTAAGCCATACCATGGTTGTGGGTTAGAATACTTAATATGGTCAAGTCTCTCCAAACTGATCTACAAACTCAATGTAATCCCAATAAAAATCCCAGCAAAATTGTTGTACAAATGCCATGGTTATTCAAAATTTTGTATGGAGAGGCTAAGTATGCAAATGAGCCAAAATTTTTAAAATAGAAATGTTGAAGGAAGCTTGCCCCCTCATATCAGAGCTTACAATGAAGCCACAGTAGCCAAGACACTAGTCCCCATGCAGCAAAGCACACAAAAGGGAAGAGTGTGGAGGGGTCGGAGATGGACCCACACATCCCTGCTCAGGTGATTTTCAAAACAGGATTAAGGGCAATTCAGTGAAGAAAGGGCAGACTTTTGTACATAGAGTGCTTGAAAATTGAATTTCCATATACACAAAATAATTCTTAACATATACCAATATTAAAAATAGGGGTGCCTGGGTGGCTCACTGGGTTAAGCCTCTGCCTTCGGCTCAGGTCATGATCCCAGGGTCCTGGGATTGAGCCCCGCATTAGGCTCTCTGCTCAGTGGGGAGCCTGCTTCCTCCTCTCTGTCTGCCTGCCTCTCTGCCTGCTTGTGATCTCTCTCTGTCAAATAAAGAAATAAAATGTCTATTAAAAAATAAATCATAGAGCTAAATGTGAAACCTAATACTATGAAATCTTCACAAGAAAGCGTAGAAAATACATGTGACTTGGGATCTGCAGATTATTAGGTATAACAGCAAAAACATGAAAGAAAACCATCATAAATTGGATTGCACCAAAGTTATATCCTCAATATGTTGTCATCAAAGTTTACATCTCTTCAAAAGATAACTATTAAGTAAATGAAAACAAGCTAAAAACTGGAGACGATATTTGCAGAACACCTTTCTGATAAAAGAGTGGGTCTGGATTATACGACGAGATCTCGGAACTCAGCGATGGGGAGACCACAAACCCCACTGAAAATGGCAAAAGCCGTTTCACAAAGGAACACACACTGATGGAACATAAGCAGATAGAAGTGTTTAACGCTGGACTTTGGTGAGACGCACTTGAACATCACGACAAAATCACATACTTAACAGAACGGTTGCAGGATGGAAAGCGGAAGATGCTGCAGCCGAGGTAACTCTCCCCAGGGGAGCGCGGCCATGCCGGACTGGGCCCAGCCGATCCAGTCAAGTGACTCGTTGACTAGAGGCCCCGCCTTGGGTACTCGTCCAAGAACAGTGAAAACTGATGTTCACAGTGAAACCTTTATGTGGACGTAATGCTGGTTTTACTTACAACCAAGACAGACAAAACCACCAACTGGGAACAGCCCACGTGTCCCTCGGCTGGGGAACAGGTCCAGCAGGTGTGGCGCGCTCCCACGGTGCAGTGCCCAGCAGCTGATGACGGAGAAGTGACCCAAATGTGAACACGCATGAACCCCAGATCTGCCGCTCCGACTGACAGAGGCTCTGGACGCCACGATCCCGGCGCTGCGACATGGTGGAGAATCCGAACTTCGGGCAGGGAAGACGTGTGGCTCGGAGCTGGGGGCGGGGGCCAGGCAGGCTGCGAAGGGACAGGAAGGAGTGCTTTCGGGTGATGGGACTCTTCTATGCGCTGACTGGGTGGCAGTTTCGTGACAACACACGCTTGTAAACTCACAGAACTTCGCTTCAATAGACCTTGCAAAGATTCCCCAATGGAATTGCTAGATAGCAAATAAGGATCAAATAATTTTTTTTTTTTAAAAAGGAACCGGGTCCAGCATTCTTCCCTGGGGGAGAAAAACAGCAGTTGAAGAATTAACGGGCGAAGTGTTCTCATATTTGACGAAAACGATAAATCCACAAATCCAACAAGCTCAAGCAGGAGAATTATAAAGAAAACCACATAATAATAATAATATTATCAGATTGCTAAGTATCAGCTAAACAGAAAACCTGTAAAATCCGGGGAGAGAAGCGAGGCTGATTACTCACGGAGAGACAAAAATAGCCACACACTTATCGGAGGCCATGCGGCCCAGGACAATAAAATGTCTTCAAGGTGCTGGGAGAGCGGCCGTCCAGAAATCTGTGTCCCGCGAGGACCTCTCAAGACTGAGGCTGAAAGGCGAGAGCTGGGAGCATTCAAGGGAAACAGAGATCTGCTCAGGAGCTATTTGGGTGGATATAAAAGACATCTTTCCCTCCTTTAAATATCCTTTTGAAAGAACCCTCTAAAGAAACAACAATGGCAAAGTGTCCTGGTGCTCACGGCATCCGCAGGGCTGCAGGGGGAGGGCACGTGGCTGGGAGCAGACGTCCCCAAGGTTCTCACGAGCGTTCCGTAAAGGCGAACTGTGACGTCACTGTGTACACTGTGCACACAAGCGAACAAACAGATAAGTGCAGGAAGCCAAGTATGGAGAAATTAGCAATATT